AGTAAAGGCCTCTTCTGCTGATGCCAGTGGCGTGGGTTAATCCCGTTGGAGCAAGACAGGGTTAAGGAAACATCAGGAAATCTGATATCAGTCTGTGAGATGATCTACTACTTTCTTCCACCTTTTTCGGATCTTCTGTTGTGTGAGCAGGGCCTCTTTTTGCTTTCAGTATTTTGCCTCTGCCAGCAGCAGCAATAGCAGCCCTGTTTCTGCAGATTGTGGAGATCTTTCTTATGATGCAATATATACACTCAGGTAAAAATCTGTAGAGATTCTTAGTCATCCAGGTCATGGTTGCCCCAAAGCTGCTTTTGCAGACTACAGGAACCAGGAGCACTACTCAGGTGACCCTGAGGACACAGATAAACCTCCAAGTGCTTCAAGGACCCTCTAAAAGGATGCAAATTATCAGCTGTCTGCAAGGAATATAAATCCTTCCATTACCCACTATCCTGTCAAAGCTAAAGAAGCTTCTTGGATGAGAAGCGAAATGTCTTCAAAAGAAAAAATAAGAAAGTCCACTTGTCTCCTGAGAAAGCACCTTTGGGATACTCAGGTAGCACATCACCTCCTAAACGTATACAGTATTGCAACCTCTCAACATGAAAATGTCCTACATTCAGGAGCCATTTCTCCAAGTGAAAGGATTAGGGAACTGGGTACCGGCAGAGACAACCCTGGATTGAATAGATAAAATTGCTCTGACAAAATATAAAACAGCTTCCTCCATTCTTACAGTATATATACACTCTAGCCCAACCAGATTGGGGAAAGCATGACATGGTTACAATTATTCTGGGCAAAGCAGTTGTTTAACCTAACTCCTTTGCTAGCCCTGATTAATTTTTTAAAATTAATATAAATAGAAAAAGCAACATGTTCAAAATCCATATAGACAGTGTGTTGTCTGGTTACAATTCTTTTGAGTAACCTTCATCATAGTAATAATAATAGTATTCTGTAATAGTAATTTCATAATAACAATGTTTTTCCCTCATAATATTAATACATATTAATTGTTAATAATAATCAAAATTAATCAAAATTAGTAAATTACAGTAATCAACTCTATTAATAAAGTTATTCTTTCTCTTGTAATTTTAGAAGTTCTAACTCCTGTTTCTCTTATTTAACCATAGATGAAACAGATGGATCCCATACCTCAAAATATTCAGTGTCTTCCTTTTCTTTAATTTCAAATGTTAGTTTATTCATTTCTGCACATTCTAAAATTTTTGTTATTATCTTTTTTTCTGTGGGGATCTCGCCCTTCCAATGTTCTGTGAACATGATTCTGGCTGCTGTTAACACATGTATTACTAAATATGCATTCCTTTTACTGTATTTGTGTGGTATGATGCCCACCAGAAATGTTTCCGGTTTAAAATCTATATGTTCCTTTATCATTTTTTCTAGCCAGGTGTGTATTTTAGTCCAGTATTTTTTTGTTTTTGGACATGTCCACCACATGTGGTAATATGAGCCCGGGGTTTGGTTGTACTTCCAACACTGATTAATTTTTAATTGCATTGATAGTTTATGTAATCATTGTACTATTATGGGGTTCTTAAACAGCAGTTACATGAAAAAATCCCCTTTCCAGAGAAACAATTTCCCATGATTTCTTTCCCCATATAATTTTTTTTAAAAAGATCCAACTGATGTTATTGCCACAAAAAAAGTACTAGGCAAATATAAAATGCAAGAGATAAGTAAATGGGTAGAAGATTGGTGGAAGTACTGAAAGTGATAGAATTAACAATATATGAATTCTGTTTTCAAAAATTCTACTTGGAATCTGTTGCAGTTCACACACCTAAACTCAGTTCCATGAATCATATTTCACCTTGAAGTTAGTCTTAATTTCACTTCCTTGATATTTGAGGAGCCAGTGCTTGCAAATTTAGAGATGCGACAGTCCTTGGAACTACAAACATATCAGCGATTCCTTCAGAAGATTAGATATATGTCTATGAGACATAAGAAAGTTGAATTAAAAATACTAAAAACGTGGAACTCCTTCCAAAATTATTCTGGGAGAGATGTTTTTGTGCAGATCCAGCATGGAATCTTGTTCTTCCACTATTTTTTTAGTACTGCACTATGAAGATATATCTGTAAAGAATGTTAATCATTTTGCTCCTTCAGTTGTCCTTAAATTGTGTTCCTTGGAGAACTAGTGACTTCAGTGGACTTTCTGGCAGTTAACTCTGCCAGTAGCAACTAACATAATGATTAATACTAAAGACTCTTTCTGGAGTAATAGGGTTTTTATCTACTTTAGACATCAGCTTCTTTACTCTAATGCAGTTCTGCTAACTGAATCTCATTAGGAGAAATAATTGACTCTCCAGATCAGTCAAATGCCTTGGAGTTGATCCAAGAGATGCACAAAAACCTTTTTAGATTGATTCACAGATTTGAAATTGATTACTTATTGCTTCCCTATTCCTAGAAAAAATGACACCAGTGTCTTCTGAGAAGAGTAGCTCAGAGAATCAAGGCAACTTTCAAACTAATCTTCAATTAGCATATTTAATAGCACTAAATCCTTTGCTCCTGCTGCTACTTTCAAATGCTTGTGCTGCAGAGCTGTCTTTTTATCCTCAGCATATACATTTCCTATCAAGAAAAGGGCAAAAGAAGTGGTCAGGAAACATGGGAGGGTTAAAAATGGAAGATGATAATATCTGGAGTCCCTATAAGATTCCATAAATGAAAGATAATGATTGTATATTAATACCTAATCACGCCTAAATGGGGAAAAATCAGTTTATAAAACACATTGTCCATTTCTGTCTTCAGAGAGCATTATATAATAATCTGAAGGCTTTTACTTAGATCTTATGTTTAATGTTTGGGTGGGTACATGCTGCAAGCACATAAGGAGCTGCAAATTTATTTCTGTAGTTATAGTAAACCGATCTTTTCAAGCAAACTGAATGCCAACATAGCAATGTTGTTACCTGATCAACTGAAGGCTTATCTATGACACAAAATATATTTTTATAATATTAACTCATGTTCCTTTTCATGGGCCAGGTAGCACATACCCTGAACCTTCTCCCTTCCCTTCTCCAAGAGGTTTTGCTCCTAAAGTCCAACTACAAGCATTAAGAAATATTTTGTTCAAACATGCTTAATAAATATCAGAGAAACTATAGACAAGAACTCTATTTAGCAGGGGTATTTTTTTTAATTCCCTAAAGAATAGAGATAAAATACAAAAAGAAATCAAAATGTCACATAATTGTTGGTAGTCTTTCCGTTTGGAAAATCAAGTTCTCTTCTAGGTAGCAAAGAGAAGTTCCATCTTTTTCTTGAACAAAAAACTAACTTTATCCTCTTAAAACAAAGTTGCACCACTTGAGGCCTCAGGGTCCTTACATTTGGCTTCTCAATACTTAAGTCCCGATATTCACATGACACCACAGTGGCGACATGAATTTGATACCCCTGTTCTAGTCTATGCCAGTCTTCATCACTGTTCTGGCTGACACCAACTATGGGATTCTACTATTCCACAGTCTGCAACTTCAAACACTCAAAGAGCCATTTGGAGCTGTTTCTCACAGAAAAGAAAACACTGGGAGCCACAAAACCCTTCCCATGCTTGACTATTTCTTGAGCGGCCACAAAACTAGCATATGTAGTTGAATTAAATGTTCTGTTTTCTTCTGAAACTTTTCTTTTCGTGGATTTATCCATGGTTGGCCTACCGGGGGTTGAAAAGCTCAATAAATCGTGTGCCAACAGGTGTCGCAAATTGGTAGTTGTGACTCATATTTTGAGTGACAGGGAGCTGCAATAGAGGGGTGAAAGAGCCACATGCGGCTCCAGAGCCGCAGGTTGCTGACCCTTGTACTATTCAAAGGGTGCCTAAATCCAAGTGTGTTTCATGAATTCTTAGATTTTCCAATTTTCATTTTAACTCTGTATGCAAATGATACTTTGAAAATGTCTATGCAATTTCTGTGGGGGAAAAACCCATTCTTGGAGCAGAGGACATTTCTTTCTTTACCTCAGATTTGTTGCAGGTGACAGTAGCAATTATTTTATCCTAGCAAATGGAAAATTCAAACCATCTTCTTTGGAGGGGAGAGAAGGAAAAAAAAGTGTCTAGAGTCAGACATAACTGACAGTGAAGCCTTAACCATATTGCCATAAAATAGATTGATCTGTTACTGTTTGGGTAGCTGGGAGCAAATGGATACTAAAAAGCTTGTGGACAATCACTGCTTTATAACCTACAATGTATGAATAATAGGGGCTTATTCAGACGTGAGTACCATAATATTCATTTGAGATTTACCTCTGTCCAGGCAGAGGTACTTTTCATAGCATCCCTTATAATTACCATTCTCTCTCTCTGTTTTGGTGTGTGTGTGTGTGTGTGTGTGTGTGTGTGTGTGTGTGTGTGTGTGTATACATAGTATATGAGTATATTGAAAGCCATGGTCAGTAAACAGGAGGGTGGAGATAATTCAAAATTTTGAAATAACTCACTTTGAAATGACAATGGTTCAGATATTGAACCATTGTTTGGATGAGTTTCTTTCCATATATGGATCTTGGGCCAATTGTCTCCCTGAGTACTTTCCAAAAAATGTCCTGATTTGGCAGATTATTGAAGTATTCTTCAGCTGAGTGGTGTGATAACCTAGAGATGAAGACACTTGTCTTACACTCTGGAGGCTGAGAGTTCAGTCCTAGGCAGCGACAGATGTTTCTCTATCAGAGCACAAAGAGTAAATATCTGCTGCGAACTCCGCATAGGTATCAGGAAGGGCATCTGACCAGTAAATGCTCTATTCAGTCACCCCTACAAGAGATTACAGGGCCATGAAAAGAAAAGAAAAATTAAGTATTCTTCAGGAGTATTTCTTTGAAAGAATGATCATAATTTTAAATATTCTTGGTTCTGTTTTTATATACTGTACATTGATGACCACCTAAAGGAGAAGGCATCACACTGATAATCTTTCCTTATTTGTTTCCAGGTTCTCACGATCAGATGAACTTTCTCGACATCGACGTTCCCACTCTGGCGTGAAACCGTATCAGTGCCCTGTGTGTGAGAAGAAGTTTGCACGGAGTGACCACCTGTCCAAGCATGTCAAAGTCCATCGATTTCCACGAAGCAGCCGCTCAGTGCGCTCAGTCAATTGATGTGTCCGGTCCAGTCCTTCCCACCATGCCTCTAAGAACTGCCAGAAGCAGTATTTGTTCCTTTCTGGTGATAATTTATTTCTCTCCATGTAACTGCTGCCATTAGGACATCACATGTGCCTTCCCCCTCCCCCATCATTCACCAACTTTGCTTTTTCCCCCCTAATTCTTTTTGTTGCTGCCGCTGCTGCTTCTTTTTGAGAATTACAGCATTTCATTTTCAGTCAATTGAGCTCCAACATCATGATAATATATGGGCAACTTGCTGCTAGTTAATTACAGTTCTGGCATTCCTGAGCACTTTTGCTCATGTACAGGGCTATTCATCATGAGGTTTTTGTTTTTTTTAAAAAAAAATGCATTATTAATATTATTAAGTTGGCCTATTTGTCCGCTTTGGAAAGAGCAATTTCCTTTTGAAATGGCAAAGAAATCCACTTCATTTTCATGAGTTCATTTTTGTTGATACAATGATTTGGTGTTTGGTTCACTAGCTAGATCTTCATAGGTGCTCTCAAAAGAGACTGAACAGAAGAAACAGTCAGCAATATGTGCACGTGAGTGACTGAGTATGTCTGCGTATAGAAAGAAGGTATTGCCAAAAGGTGGATCTTTGATTAGACTAAGCAATAAACCAGTGTGTGGAATGATTGTTCTAGTCTGAGTAAACCCTAGATTTTTCCAGATTGTGTGCACACCAGAGGTGGGTTTCAGCAGGTTCTGACCAGTTCTGGAGAACCGGTAGTGGAAATTTTGAGTAGTTCGGAGAACTGGTAGTAAAAATTCTGACTGGCCCCGCCCCCATCTATTCTCTGCCTCCCAAGTCTCAGCTGATTGGGAGGAAATGGGGATTTTGCAGTAACCTTCCCCTGGAATGGGGTGGGAATGGAGATTTTACAGTATCCTTCCCCTGCCACGCCCACCAAGCCACGCCCACAGAATGGGTAGTAAAAATTTTTGAAACCCACAACTGGTGCACACTATATCTGAGCCTATCAGTTGCTGCCATTTGCAGACTTACCAGCTCTCCCTCTTGAGAAGATACTTCACTGGAACTGGCAGAGTTCACTCTCCCTTGTTCTTAGTCCCATGTAAAGATTAGTATGTTTGAAAATGCCTGTTACATCTCACGTGGCTGAAGGAGATAAATAAATTAGGAAAAGGCATCTGTGCCTTTTCACTCAATCATCTCTGTTTCCAAAATATAACCTTTTGTCATTCAGCCCAAAGATAATGGCTTTGCATGGGTTGCCCCACAATTTAGGCACAAGCCTTCTTTAGGTTGTATAAAAACTATGATAAATTTCAGAGAAGTATCCTGTTGCCCAGGTCTGCATTTTGCACTGTTCAGATTCATAATCTCTGGATTGGATACACAGAAGGGGCTAAAATTGGCTTTCCTCAATTTGGACAAGTGGATTTCTCTTGCAGAATTCCTCAAACATCACAGTCAAGTTGGAGAAGACCAAGCTAAAGCAATTCTCTCACATTTAGTAACTAGAATCTGATAATATTTTTCCCAAGGTCTTAAACAGTTAAGCTTGCATAATTAAAGACTTATACCAAAGATGAATAGAATTGTCAACCATAGCAGTTAAGAAGGCCAAAAATTTATCTATTCAATATATTAAATCATTTATCTAGGAATTTTATTTTGGTTCTTTACTAGTAGAGCACATCAATCCTGCACTATATGTCATAGTGCCAAAATCCAACCATGGACAATCTGTTCCTATAAGAAGCCAAGGTAGGCTATTGATTTGATAGGTGTGTGTTTGCATGTGTGCATGTGTATTTGGCTGATCAGTGCTGTGGAGGAAATGAATGAAGTTTTTCTATGAAGTTCAAACTATCACACAGCTATGGTGCTACTTTCAGAAGTAGGGAATGTGATGGCCATTGCTCCAGACTCTCTACTCAACTTGATATTTAAAAAAAAAAAACCATAACCCCCACCATGGGAAGCCATATGCAAGAATGCCTCATAATCTGATATGAACTTGAAGGTGCTCTTAGAAAAAAATGGATAAGGTGAGGAGGTGAAGAATATTCAGGAGGCTTAGTGGTAGTGGTAGTGGAAAGCCATTTCCCCAGTCTTGTGTATTGTTAAATGGGTCTTTGGTGATTGGCCATCTCATCTCTTGGCAGCCACTGTATGAACAGGCAAACCTTCCTGCACGATGACCATTTGCTAACTATGATATGGTTCAAAATTACAAAGGTTCTCCTGGTCCTGGAAGGGTGGCCACCTCTGCTGCTTTATTGAATAGCGGAAAGGGGTCATGCCCCTCTTTTCCAGGAATGATGCTTGTCATTAGTCTTCAATAGATCCTTCAGTGGGGTAGTGTGTCCTGTCCTGTGCCCCCTCCCCCCAACTTGATTGTTCTGTGGGAGAATGGGATGAAATCCTGTGTCAATTTCTTGCTGTGCCATTGACTTTGGGTCTGCGGGCAGCCTTAAATCAACTACCATTCCTGCAAAAACATCTATGTGACCTCTTCTGGAATGTTACCCTTAGTTTCTAACTGTGCCAATCCTTTTGCCTCAGATTATGTAGAATCTTCCCAGACTAAGGGTGAAACCCCCCCCCCACACCTGCTGAGCCAATTTGCCCTTGTTTACAGTACTGAACATAATCCATATTCCTAGTAGCTGAGGAGGAAGGACTTCAGACTTAGTGAATGTTTTATGAAAGCACTTTGAGAGATTTCAGCAGCAAGTGGTACTAAAATGCTCAGTGCCCCTATGGGCCACTATTCAGAGAGCAATGCAACTGGAGCATTGGGTGTTCCAGCCAACTAGCATGGTAGCTGTCTTAAGGGCCTTTAATTTTTTTTTTTTAAGGGAATATACACAACACAGAGATAATCTGACGAAGCAGAAAAAAAATATCATGTTAGGCAACATTTCCTTATATATATATATTTTTGTACTCTACTGATTTTAGGATGTTTCTAGAGAACGAGAATGTAGTAAGTAGGGTTGTTGGATATTTTTAAAGAATAGGCTATGATCACACAACATGCATAACAAATCAGTTAAGGACCTTGTGGTGGTATTTGTGCAACATTTTAATTTGGATTGCTTTTAATGAAGCTTTTTGTTCTGTTTTAGCTTTAGATGATCATTCAAAGCCCCAATCGGTCAAGTCAATCGCAAAACTAAATGTGTTGTACAGTCATAGCTGTCATGTTGACAGCAAATCTGAGCAAACGTAGCCATGGTTGAACCTCACTGAGGGACAGGATTAGCTGTGAGCAGTTCTCTGCTTTTGGAGGGGCTCAATAGCAATGAATTTTAGCATCATGCCCTATCTTTTTATGTTAACCAAATGGGAATTAAAACACTGCAATTCTGGGTTGAGTAGGTCAAACAGAGACCACGTTATCATTTAAGAGCAATAGTTCCAGTTCTTTACGCTAGGAATGCATTCCTTTGGTCCTCTGGAAATTTGTATACTATATGTGAATGTCTCTCCTATTGACTGGTTTTTATCTCACATCCTATGAATGTATGTAAATAAAATTGTACATATTGCATATCTATATAAAATATCTTTTAAAAACACAAAGATGATGTAAATTAGAGTCAAAATAATATCTTTAAAGCCAGTGTACATAAGTTACAATTCTGTATATTTTTCTTTCGTTCTTCATAAAATATATTTACTTTGACAATAAAAAAGAAATTTTAAATTTTACAAATAATGTTATATTAATTTCTGGTTTCCACTCATACATTGGAAATTCTTAAGCAATCAGTAGTTGGGTGGTAATAATTTTCCAAGTAATTGGCAACACTCGTATACTATGGTTGGCAGGTCCAAGATCAAACTGAACTTATAATATATATGACTTTATTGAGTTTTCCTTATCCTTTCTAATTCCATTTATGCTTGCTTGAGACTTTAATGAGAAGCTACCCTAAATGCTACTTCCATGATCATATCGATTACTTCATCCTTACTGAGATTCAAAGTTCTTTTTTCCCACAAAGTTTCTGCTCATTACCAAATATTCTTACCTACCTTTTGGCATATTAAAGCTTTCTAAAAGTCTTATAATAAGGAATAATCTTTCAAGAGTCCAGGTAACTTTGAAGACTGTTTGGAAAGTACCATTAGTCCAGTTTTTTGGACTAAGTGGTTAGCTGTGAATATCCTGTCCCCAGGCCTGGGGGCTATAGAAGCCTGGATGGCATGCAATGGACTTTGTCTCAACCCTAGCAAGACTGAATATGGTAGCTTTGGGCATTTGGGCTTTCAGGTGACAAAAGTTTTCCCCCTGTAGTCCTGGATGGAGTGTCACTACCCCAAATAGATCCAGTGCACAATTTGGGGAACTTCCGTAGCCGCTCATGTATTCATGCCCTCTCTGGATTATTATAATGCTCTCTGGAGCTGCCTATGAAGAGCATTTGGAAGCTTCAGCTGATGTAGAATGCAACTGCATGAGTACTCAATGGTGTTGGATCTTGGACACATGTAACATTGCTGCTCTGTGGGTTGCATTTGGTCCTTTGTTTGAGATGGATGGCCATAGACATTGAATAAAATAAAGCTATAAAGTTTGGTTAAAGTTGATCACATGCCAATTTGGTCAGTTTCTGAGCCTAAAGGAGCATTGAAGGAGCATTAGGTATGTTTGCCACATTGAGTTATTTATACAAATAATAAAGGTGAGATATAAATAAAGTGTTCCTTTTGATTTTTCAAATTGCACATACTTAGCATCAGAATATTTTAAGCAACATCATCTTTCAAAAATATCTGTCTGGATTTTTGATATGGAGGTCTCTGGTTGCCTCAGCTAATCAGATTTGTCAGGTGCCTACAAAGGAAAAGGTTTTCTTAATTGTGATTCCCCACATAGGAAAAGGGAACATGTCCCTGAAACCCACACACAGATGGCTTTTCGATGCATTAACTCATTAATATTTTTCCAGCAGTATTTTGATAGCTAGTTTTTAATTTTAACCCTCCACACCATACTGGGATTTTTCTCCTCGTGTTGGTGCCAGACTTATCACTCCACCTATTGCATCTGTGTAATTTCGGTGGGAATGATGTTCCAGATAATGATGTTTCAAAAGGTGATGGCCATGGCAGAAAAATCTCTCCCTCTGGACCCTGCCAGTTCACACTACCTAGCCGATGGTACCCGGAGCATGTGCTTCAGTGGTGGGTTTCAAATTATTTTACTATCGGTTCTCTGGGCGTGGCTTGGTGGGCATGGCTTGGTAGGCGTGGTACGGGAAGGATACTGTAAAATCTCCATTCCCTCCTCACTCCAGGGGAAGGATACTATAAAATCTCCATTTCCTCCTGATCAGCTGGGACTTGGGAGGCAGAGAATAGATGAGGCCAGTCAGAATTTTTACTACCGGTTCTCTGAACTACTCAAAATTTCTGCTACCGGTTCTCCAGAACTGGTCAGAACCTGCTGAAACCCACCTCTGATGTGCTTCCTGTCAGATCAGTTAAGATGGATAGAAACAATTGGATAGAAACAATAGTAGCAGACAATGAATAGGCTGATTTGGTTGTTTTATTTGAATTGTGTTTATTGTTGTTGTTTAAATCTGTAAGATGTCCAGAGCCACATAATTGGAACACATATATTCTCCCTATAAAATGTATATCTTAGCATGTCACAATGGACTGAGAATTGCTGATCCAAGGACATGTTTATGGAAGAAACAGCAGAACAAAAATAATTGGATTTATGAAGAGACCATTTATCTGCATGTATTTAAAAAGTATGATAGATGAATGCTTCTTACAACTGGAGTCAATTAAAAGCTTCTGTCTTTGCAAGGAATTAAACCAAAATCATGGTCACCAACTTTGGAAGTTTCTACCTATAAAAACCTTTTCCAATATAGTGCCATTCACATATGGGATTTTGACTGATTAAAGTAAATCATTTGATATCATTTGTTGTCATATTGGTGAGTTCTCACACGATCAGAAGAAAACAAAGTACTAGATTTGCCAGTTAACAAAATGAGGGACAAATGGAAACCAATCTTTCTGCCAAAAACAAAGGGATGTGCATCCTATTGTGTAGCTTGAACATCAGGAGGAAGGGACACAAAATTAACAACTTTGATTTCATTATAAATAGGATTTTCATTCCATTTACAGCAGTTATTCGAATTTTTTCAGAATGGTTCACAGTTTTTTCTACAATAAACTACTTATCAAAAGTTCCTGGATTCTTATGTTTCTGATCAATTGATTTCAGTCCAGCCTATTGGGGAGAAGTCTGATAATACGAGTGAGTATTTGAAGTCATTTGGAGGGTTGTGGATTTTACTGTGACAATCATGATATAACTCCCTAGTACAGTGATAGCTAACCTTTTTGCCATCTCGTGCCAAAAGTGGGGACAGTGGGGGGGGGTCGCGCACGTGCGTGCCCACACCCATAATTCTATGTGCCCCACCCACTCCGTGCATGCGCACACGACCCTCCCCCCATGCTTTTGGCACGCGATGGCACAGTGGGCCTGGTAGGCCTGGTTTTTTTTGCCCTCCCCAGGCTCCAGAGACTTTCTAGGAGCCTCAGTAGGGCAAAAACGGCCTCCCCCCACCCAGAGGCCAGAAACAGCCCATTTGCCGACTTCCGGTAGGACCGGAAGGCCCAAAAATCAGCTGGCCAGCGTGTGCATGCGCGCGGGAGCTGAGCTTGCGTGCCCACCGGTATGGCTCCATGTGCCATCTGTGGCACGCGTGCCATAGGTTCGCCATCAAGGCCCTAGTACTTTTTAATGTTTGAAATAAACATTGTAACTTAACAAAAAGGATGCAACATGGTATGATTAGAGGCTTTTTGAAATAATCAGGAAAATCAAATTCCGTATCTATTCCTGAACAGTATTACGTGTGGTTGATAAGCAGAGAGAGGCGACTCACATATTTTAATTCTTCCTTTATAAAAAAAAGATACTGAAGTCATAGGAAAAAAAATTCCAGCAACATCCCATTAGTATTGCATCTGCCATTGTAATTCTATATGTGCTGTGTGCCATCACCTTTCTCCTTGAAAGGGGATTCAACAAAGATATAATACCTTTCATCATAGTCTAGAGATGGCATCTTTCTGCTGATGTTATAAATTGGCCATAATTGATAGGAATTTTCATTGGAAATTAAGACCCGTGGCTTGTCTTGAAATATCTTATTAAATAAGTGTCAACAAGATACCAAGGACATTTCCTTTGTGGATAAATTTTCCTGTTACATTTTTAGTTCATTAACCATGACACTATAGTTGTGAATATATTACTGTATTGCCTTGGGGCTATTTAAATAAAAGATGGTGGAATTTTCCTTTTTAAAGCAGCTTTTTCTGGAATAGTTGTCCTCTTGGTCTCCTTCTCTCTTGAATTCCATGCACTATCAAAGAATGCTACAGCTGCGAAATGTTTTTCCTTCCCTAACATCCTGCTATATGTTTAATCCAAGCAAACAGGTGACTTGAGAACAAAGTGAACTGGAAGAGGGCAAAGTTAATGATTACTGTGACCCTTTGCTGAGTTATGTAAGATGAACCCTTGATGTTTTTTAAGACGGTACACT